GGTCTGGAGTGGATGGGCGTTTGACGAGAGAGCGACGTTAAATTTCGAATAGCATTTTCGCCAATCGTTGTGCGATTTACCAGATCCTCGCACTCTTTCGCTCTCCGTTCTCGTCTTCCTCTCTTTTGCAGTGCGTGGCGCGTGCTGTTTCCGTCTCTCTCCCCGGTGCCACGCTTTTATTCGTCCCCCCTTGCTCTTCTCTTTCGCCAACCCCCCTTCCCACCGCCCCGTTGCCGCCTGTTTCTCGTTGTTGTTTGTCGCTATTATTGATATTTTTCGATATCGAGCGTGACACGACCGGAGACTCGTGTAGATGGATGGCGAAATGCGTGTACCCCGTGCCGTTTTATTATTTTTTTTCTTTTTCCGTCCTCGCTTTTTCGATCACTCTTTGGAAGTAACTCGTCTACGTTGCCAGAAATTTAATTACAGAGACCAAAGATCGTAAGTTGCGTTAAAAACAAATTGGAAGGGCAACTGCGATAAGCAGGTAGTCCAATTTTCCAATATTTCGATAAACCATCGAAAACCAACTCAAAATGAAAATCCATCGAACATTTGCACTTTAGAACATGAAACATATGCCTTCCTTCTTCTTCCAATAAATGCAATTTAAGTATCGGATCTGTCCTTATTGCTCCAAACCCCCCTCCAGTCACTAAACATTAATTACACGTAAATTTTTAATCCCACTCCAACGAATTTGATGAGCTATATAGACCCACGAAGGAACTAAAATTAGAAACTGAAATTGAAAATTGAAGACTCAAATTCCCGGTATCGCAAGAAAAACCATCCCATCTTATATTCTCGATCGAGTTGGCACGTCAGACGTAATAAGCCGGCATGGGACGTCAGCCCGCTAACCATGCGCTAAGGCAAACATCGTTCCTCTATTACCGAACAACATCGTTTCCTACCGTGCATAAATCGTAGTACCCCCATTCATCGGGAAACCTGCAGCGGTGTCTACTTAATAATGCATCAAATACCCTAATCCCAAAGAATAACCACCGATATGTTGTATCTTGGTCGTGTAGTGAATCCGGGGGTAAAAGCGAAGGGAGGGTCTTTAAGCCCGGGCATTAAAAAAAGAATGGCGAAAAAAAGCACAGTTCTACAACTGTAACAACAGAACGTTGTGTCCTGGATATCCTCGTATCCTCAACAGGCTTTCGACGTTTAATCTGCTCGATTCGAATGGTCGTAGAGGAACGAAGACAGAATTGAAAAAGGGATGGAAATAGTATTCGCGAAGGGAGTAGGCTCGAAGGAGGTGGAGCAGCTTAAAAAACGATTCCCATTCAATGTTTCCGTTGGAGGTTAAGCCGTTATTAGTTGGCCAGGGCTCGCGATCCTGGCAGGCAGCTCCTCTTATTGGCTGGCTAGGAAAACAACGATAAAAGGCGATGAGTATTTTATGGGGTACACCGGTACAATAGGACGTCGTGTATGGGCCATTGTTAAAGCATTGTCTGGTTGGAACGCAAGGCAAACCTCTCTTTCTCCGTTCGATTCTGGCTTCTTGGTCGTCGTGAAACGTACGCGGGAACCGTGCCGCTCTATTATTTTATTATTTTCAAACACGTCGCCTTCGCTTCCTCTCTCTTGCTATCCTTTTTGGCTCGGTTAAATTGGGCGTGGCTATATGACTGAAAAAATGTATGTTGCAAACACACGTCGGACCATCAACCCTCTTAGACGCCTGTAAATGATTGGTGTACACCTTTCTTTTCTCTTTTATTCTTTCGAGAGTTAGTTGCGGTTTATCAAGTGCTTGTTTATTTTTAATGGAATTTCATGGTCCATACAATTGGCAACTGTTATATTCTTCGAAAACTTTTCAAGCAGATTTTCTGGATAGAAGTTTTGCTTAGAAGAAGAGAGGGTCTTTTTTTAGTGAAAAAATGATAGCAAGAATATATCTATTCTTTGAGCAGTGGAAGGTAAAATATATATCTAAGCGATTCACACGTACCAAATATCCGTATATTTATATCAGAGGTGTTGAAGCGTGCGTCAACAAGAGGTTGGGCTCCGCCTGGAGCTGTTGAGGAGGGTTTTAGTCGGGGGTGTCAGCTCGAATTATGTATCGCAAGGAATACGACGACTTGAGCAATCCGTCGTGCGAAGATCCGAAACCTTGGGCGTTTCACGGGGAACTCGTCCGTAAAAAAACCCGCTTTTACCTCAGTTTGAATGTTTCGAATTAATGTCACTCAACCTATTAACGGAAAATTTGACGTACTTTACGCACGATTTTATCGGCAACATCTTCATCGAGTTACTTGCCTCAATGAATTTCTTATTGATCGATAAAATGTGTCTTATACTTGTGCAGAGAATTTTCAAGGACTTCCGCCGGAAGCGATACCGGCGTTCTTGCAGAATTTACAAAATTCTGCGAGTTACAGTATCGCGAAACCGATCGCCAGACCAGCGGCGTATCATCCTTATCACAGGCCGAGTCATCAGCCACCTCAGCGTCATTTACCCCCGAATGCGCACCACACGTTGCAACAATTGTTCTACAGGGGACCCTACTTAACAGGTAAATACTTCTCTTTTTACGACTTGTAGATTTATATTTTAATGAGCTACGTTAATCAACTTAGTTACTAGGAGACATATCTTCAATTTTTCTGAACTTCCCACAACGATTTTTCAATTCATTATCACATGAAGAAAATAGATAAAGAACTACTGAAAAGAAAAAAAGACATACAAAGAGAAGGTCTGGAAAAGGTTGTTGCTAATTACCACAATCATTCTAGTCGTTAACCCATTGCAAATACTGGTTAAAAAAGAGCCGCAACGAGCGATGAAGGATGGTGTTAAATTGTTCACAAAAAAATATTGGTCATTATATATTTATTTTGGGATACTCGAGAGAGGAAAAGTTAATAAACAAGCTGGACGCGAGGCGGAAACACAATCTCGATGAACATTTAAAACCGAAACTTCCGCACATGGCGCCAAAGCGTATAAACGCGGGCACGTGCACGGGCACGGGTTTATCGAATATCTTGTTATAGGTAGGCTCGTATGGGACATGGAGTGCATATGAAGTGCAGTGAAAGCACTACCATATTATGTACATGCACCGCCACAAGCAAAATGCACGCATGCAACAAGTGCGTGCAAATATCATCGGCGCAGATAATACTGTCATGCTCAGCTTGGCAATATTGTACAGATACGATCTGGAGATTCAATTGCCCGTTCGTTATTAGATGACTTTGATTCAATTACTATCGAGACCGGGCCTTTAACGTACGAGCAATAAATTTTGCCTATTGACGTTTTTCCAAATTCTGATAGAATGGTTCCACGTTCTAACGAGAAAATTAAAAAAGAAAACACATTGCTTCAATACTAATTGACTCGTATCTGTAAATATGTGGTTGTTCCTTGTGCAGTGCAATTTTGTACTGGTGATAAAAATGTAACGTTAGGTTGTCCCAAAAGTTTCTTTCGTTTTATAAGGAAATAACAGATGTACATTTTTTGTTTTATATTATTTTATTGAATTACGTATGGCCCATTTTTTCCAATAGAATAAAATTGTGTATCTACTATTTCCTTATAAAACGAAAGAAACTTTTCGCACCATCTAATACTTTTGGGGTAAAAACGTCATTTTATGAGCACGATATGGAATTCAATGTTTTATTACTAATTCCAAAATTTGAATGTCAATATCGATGGAAAACTTTCGTGTGCATATAATATTATAATCGTGACAGTCGTGTCTCATTTAAAGTGTTAATGAAATTCCATAATGTTTTATATAACACGTATAATATATTCATGAGAAGTGTCTATAGCGAGCCACTATTTCTACTTTTATATTACTGTGCATTTTACTTACTTTTAATACTTTTAATTAAAATCTATAGAGAATGATTTTAATATATCTGTAATTTTTATAACTTCTTATGTGTTAGATATTTCTATATATTCTTTTCTGTAACTTATAACTTCAATCTCAACATTTAAAATAAAAATCATGTTTCAAGGCAATCTTTCTGAATGTAAAACGTATGTAATCGGTAGTTGCGGGTTCTGGAACTGGAGGTCATCATCCGGGTGCTCCAGGTGGTGGGACAGCGTTTCCAGGTGCGATTCAAGGTGGGCTGGGTGATTTCACGAGCACTGGCCTGGTATTTCCATGGGCAACAAACGCACGTGGAAAACCTCGTCGAGGAATGATGAGAAGAGCGGTTTTCTCGGACCTTCAAAGACGTGGCCTTGAGAAAAGGTTTCAGATACAGAAGTACATCAGCAAGCCGGATCGTAAGAAATTGGCTGAAAAGCTCGGCCTGAAGGATTCCCAGGTAAGGAAATATCTGTTGAAATACTTATTATAAATGAAAATTATTTTCATCATGTGTGAATGATCGATTATAATATTAGAGACACAACAGATTCGTTAATAAGTCAAAGCTCAAATAGTTTCGTGGGTAATAATGATTATACGAGATAATAGCATCAAATATGCCATATTCAGGTAAACTTGCGTGTATTATAATGTACACAGGCTTGTCATGATCAAGCGGTTGCCTTCGCAGCCGCATGAATGAACAACGTGATGCTTAATACCGCGTTTAATGATCTTAATAGCATACTAATTTGCTAATCCAGCTAGCGAAGCGAATAGTTCTTTGTTATTCGGATTCACGCTATACTATTATTAAGAATTAAATAGTTAGTTTCTTTGTAAACTTATTTTATTTGATAACACTGTTTGCAAGGTTAAATCTAATTACCTTGTTTGGAATTTTCTTTAATAACAGTAATTAAAAGATCACGATATATCTATTAAGGCTGTAATACGATCAATCTTATTACATTTTTTTATTTAATTAACGTCATAAATGATTGCATTCGATATTCGCTGATAGCCGAGCGCATAATCAAGAAATTAATCCGTACGAAGACGTAAGGGGACCAGGTTTGTCGTAGAATATAAGGTGCTTAATGACCTTATTAGGGCACTAATTGTCGCTTTAACGAAGTACGAAACCTGGTCCCAACGGAGCATTTAATTCAGCGACGAAGCCACTGCTCTCACCCTCCAACGATTCCATTCACTGAATTGATGGAGACTAATGCTCAGGTTTCGTCGAGCCAACTCTCACGTGGTATCTACATACATCGGGCCTTCAAACTTTACCATATGCATCTACTTTACATAAAAGATATACAACATGCGCATAACACAAGTCTGGAATGAAAGAAAGAGCATTACTAGTCCCGTGTACCAACAACTTTACGGGCTATTTGAACTCCTTGCAAACATTTCGATCGTAACGGTTATCCCATTAAACCGATTTAATACATTTCTGAGTCATTAGCGGCAAAGTAATCAAAAAGCGATTCTAACAATCGTAGCACGTTTATAGCGTCACCATTGTACAAGCATCGAAAGCCCGATTCTTCCTCTTATAGGGGTTATTAATTTACCTACTAATAATAGAATTATTTCTAACAAAACATTAAACTTAAAGTCATATTATACTACTGTGGGTATTTATTCTTTTTCTAAGTCGTATCTTTAATTTATGTATCGAGCTGTCATAAGGAATTTATTTTTTCAATACATACTTTGTAATTTGACAAAACAGTATGTATACTTACTTCATTCACATATTTTCTAATAACTTTGCATTTACACAATTTTTATGGATCGTTTCATTGAAGGACAAAGTGAACAAACCAGCACGATACATTTTTCTGCACAACTATTTTGTTCTAAACTATGGCGATCTTTCTCGTATATCGAATTTGCGCATCGAGTTTTTAACAGTATCTACTCCTCTAACACACTTTTTCTATTTTCTACAAACCGACGCATAAATTATATTAATAAGCTATATATATTACAATCAAATAAGAATAACAAATTCATTCACATGAAATGCTATTATTTTCATATAATATCTACCTGTAATCAAAGAGTAATTTATATATTCTATCTCTCTGTATATCTTATATCTGTGTCAAAAATCTTACGTATCTATCATCAAAAAATTTAAACACACGTCTAAATTCCTTCACTAACTTTCATAATATCCTACGAAATGAATATGTAACCATCACCATAGTGAAACCAACTAGCGAGCCAACGAAACAGGCGAACTAAATTTATTACCGACTCAATGGTTAAACGCAATTAGAAACGAAGTGTCCAAAGGCGCGTAATATTTTCTGTCCTATTCTAACGTGAAAATCGTGAAGTTTAAAGTTGTGGGCGGTGATCACGCGGAGGTGATCACGCGAGATATCATCACCTCGCGTCGGTAGTGTACATAGGAGAAAGAGCCGCGGCTGCACATGGTGCTAGAAGCATATAATACCCCCGGTTTGGGGTTAATCGGGCGATGCCAGTTCATTAGCTGCACACGTATATCGACGCGTGGGGTCGTGTGCAACACACCAACGTAGCTTCGCCGTCGCTAGTAGGCCAGAGCTTCGTTGTGGCGACGCAAATGAAACTAAACGATGCCCAGAAAATGGCATAGTAAGTTAGTTTCATTTGATTTCATGAGCATAGTTTGCCGATCCGCTCGGATAACCGGGGGATGCGTGCGGCGATGTTCCCGCTAATTTTGTTTCCTACTCGGTCAATGAATTCCGCCGTCATCGTGCTTCCTTCTATCATGTCGGATAATTATAACATGCATTTCCTCGATCGTCGCTTCATCGCGGAAAGTTATTATACCTGATACGTGTCAGTTACTTTGTTCTGTAAATTTAACTTGCTTTTGCACGTTTAGCGTTGTTAGTCATTTTCGAACCGTTCATTTGTTCTCTGTGAGTGAAAGTTTGTTATAGAGTGGTATAATTTATCGTTCTTTGAGTAATTCTGTGTCGAATTGGATTTCAGGTTGGACAATGTTAGAAGATGGATTGAATCGTTATCGTGTTGTAATATGACAATAAGTATAATTCAGAAGTTACTCTTCTCGATGCATCTGGTCCCTGAAGCAAATCTGCGATAATCATGACGCTCGAATTCTTACATCGGCATTCATCCTTTATCAAAATTGCTCGTTTCAATTTCAAACAGTATATCGTAAAAGTCTCAGCTAAATCGAACAATTACAATTTATGCACATAGAGTTCTCGCGCTATATCGAAGAAATGGAACGAATAAATTGCCATCTATAACTTTGCAAAAATCAGGAAAGATATTATCCCGGAGAAACCTCTGTTTTATCTATCTTCAGATATTCTAATTAGTTCAATCGTCTAGTTGTAATTAAGCTACTCTATTCAAACCCGTCTGATTCGATCAGTTGAAGAGATAGCTATGAGCAAATTCAACCACGTGCATTGATCTTTCTCGGATAAAAGGTGTTCCGTTTGTATTCGCCACATATAGCCAGGTTAGGATGATACATTTTGCATAGCTACGAGCATATGGCAGTATGTAGATGAAGCGCAAATAACGGTAAGAGATAACCATTGGTTAGCAACGGATTGAATAGACGGAGATAAAGTTGGCAGTAAGAGAAAGAGAACGTAGAAGGAGAGAAAGGGCACGGAAGGATATATTCTCATGTATAATTCACACCTCGAGCGCCATGCCTCCACTGCCATTGGTTGAAGCCCACTCTGCCTGTGGTTTTACGAGAAAATCTAAAGACCACGCATACTCCTGCACAGAAACCTGCACACACACACAAAGATACACGTATACGTATATATGTATGCCAGTAGATATATACATATACTTTAGAGTTGCAGTAAATTGACGGTTCTTGCGACTTCGCATATACAAAGAGTCCTCTCTCTCTCTCTTTCGTCGCTTTCTTCAGGTTCTTCTTCTTCTCCTTCTTCCGCTTTAGTTCGAACAACTAGTAGTACCAGCGTGAAGATACAAGGATCTCTCTTCTTTTACGAGCAAAGGCTCCCGCATATCGAACGAGATTTCACGAGCTATCCCAATAAAATTGTTAAAGGGTTGAAATATCATCGGTCAGCAGAATCGACAACCCTGTTTAGCGAAGGAAAATCGTTGGAAGTGACGTTACCTAATTGTAGCGATATATCTTTGGAGCTTCCATTTTGTGTTTTTCATTGAAATTTTTGTGTCCGGAGAGCACATTTTTGTTAATTTTCAGACTTTCAGTCAGTCGGTGAGTAAAAAGAGCTATTTTAATAAGAAGTAGCTGGCGGCATTTTAGTTTTGCGGAGGATTTGAGTTTTGTGACATTGACCACGAATATTGAAAGTGACAATGTTATTTTTGGAACAATAAAACGTAATTCGATCGTAAATGTTTCTATCGTTACGTAGGAAACAGGAGAAAGAAAAGAACAATCTCCAAGTTGTTGGAGGGTATGTTGAGTGTTGTGCGATTTGAGGAGCATGGGCTTTGCGCACTTGGCTGCTATCTAATATCACGGTTCACCACACGAACACCCATAAAAGCGATTATTGTCCGATGATGGCTTTCTCTTCCCTCTCGAGTTCCTCTTTTCTGTTTCTCTTAATAATGTTCGACTATAAGCAGCAGATGCTGGATTCCCTGATCTCTTGCAACGAGTTCTTTTCTAATCACTACTTTTCAACTTAATTTACCAATTATTAATTAAATCTACTTTCGCTTGATACGAAGATCTCTGTAAAACGTTCAAATGGGAATTTGATTTGATTTTACTACACTCTTTGAATCATTTTCGACTCTATTATATTTGTCCGATGTTAACAAATATTTTAAATTTGAAGAAAATCCTTATTGGTATTCCGGATGTTTGAATGTTACGTTAAACATCTTCTTAAAGCATTACAAATCCAATTATTTTCTCTTGCTGAAATGAGAGCAAGATTGAAATATAAGAATTGGAAGATCGCGGCAGGGTTAAAGTATAAAATTGAAGCACAAAATGAATCAATCCGTGTATCAAGGTTAGAAAAGGGAATAATTAAATTTGTTCCAAATTTTTCCACGAAAATTGTATCTGTAAATAAATAAAAACGATATTTAAAAGAAATGAATCTTGAAGAAAGACGAAGTCTCTCGTTGTATCGTGGAGGCATCTTTTTGGATTAAGTTCCGTCCTTTGTCGTATCTGTAATCATACCGGTTTTATGAATCTTTCGTGAGATTTAATTAAAGACTTGCGGTGTACGGGTGGATGATAATAATAAAGCTTTTCCAAGGGGTAGGTTTGTACTTTGAGAAGTAGCGCGGTGCAGAGAGGGTTGGGGATAGAGAGAAGAGAAGGCAAGGTGCCGTTTCACTCAGGTTCGAGTCTTCACTACAGTTTATGACGAGGGTGGGTTTAAGAGGGACGTCGAGGGTTAAAGGGGGTTGACTAAAGTAATT